CTGGCCTGTATAGAGGAGCTGAGGATTCCAGCCCCCAGAGGGTTAGAGATCCACCACCAACTCTCCCAAGCCAGCTCCAGATTTCTTATACTGAAATCAAAAGCTATAGGCAAAGAGCAGTTAAAAGCTTAACCTTGTATGTCTACCAAGACTCCTCTTTTCCCTTTTTACTTTTTTTGAGCATGTCATTTCTTAAACACTCTTCACTTGGGACAAAAAATGGTGATACACCTATTGCTTCCAAATTTGAAAATACTTAAAACACATATACAAAATAATAGGAAGCTAACTTTAGTAACCTAAGTAAAGCTAAAATAAGTATTTTGTGGTGTTAAGCTTAGCATGTTGTCCTTTAAAAAAAAGCTTACATTGTTCACCTTGGTGGAAAAATACCACAGATCCTGTTTCAATTAAACGACTTCATTGAAAAAGCCATAGCATGAAGATTGAATGCTAGTATTTATTGAAAGTGATAAATTATCCAAGGATTATACTTTATAAACATGAGATTCAATGTCTAGGAAAGAATGTAATAACTACCTTAGGTATATTCTAGAAACAAGCTGTTCTGTGAGTAGTTAACAGAGCCTGAGCCCCTGTGTGTTTGTGTCTTATATCCTCTGCATGTTCCTCCTGTATTAACCCTATTCATCTCTCACATCCCCACCTGATAATCCCTTTTGGCAAGAAAGGGAACGGCCTGAAGCCGTCCCAGAGCCCTGGGTGAGCTGGCTGAGGCGTGGCCGTGAGTGCTTGCATGCACCCAGGCAGAAGCAAAGCTGACTTTGCCGAACAGGGGCCAAGCTACCTGGAAGAACAAATATCCTTTTTCTCTGCCATCCAACCACAAATTTTCAAGGCAGTTATTGGAACTTAATGATGTTTGGGATTTCTCCTCCTTTCTCAAATGTGGTTGAAATTGGCATGAATTTTTCTGGGGAGATGAAGGGGTAGTAGGAGGGAGAGAGTGAGAAAAAACTGGGCTAAAAATAACAATGTTTGGATTTTTCCAGGCCATTTATTCCGAAATATTAGAAAATGAAATATGTAAAGTAATACCTTTCCTCCCCCCAACTAAAAACGCACAGTACCAGACACAAATGTATTATTTTTGTTTTGATCTAGGAATACATTTTCATATACAATGACATCTGCATTTTCTTCAATTCAGAGTACACATACTTTGAGGTCTGTATTTTTCAACTTCTGAAAGGATGGACAGCACTTTAGAAAGCCGTTTGGACAGTGGGGGAAGACCACTGTCCAGTGTGTGGATTATTGTGGATATAAGCCCACAGCTGTGTGAGGAGCACATTGATAGAACCACATCTGTTTACATCTTGTTTCCCAAGACTGCCTAAATGATTTAGAGTTAATACTTGATTACATGGTTATTTTAATAATTCTGCAATGGTCCATAAGAAAAAGCCTGCTGTCTTCAGCAGTCTTGTCTAATTCATACTCTAGGTTCCACAACTCTTACTGATACTATGTCTTTACAAACTAAAGGGACTCTTTTTAATAGTCTATGCCATTGTGCTCACACTACTCATCATGAAGCTAGTTACAATTTTGGGGAGTTAAAAGCCTTTATTTAAAGTAACCAGGCTCAAAGGCTGGTGCATGGGCATAACTGATAGTAGTAGGGCTTGGAATGAAATTCAAGTCCTACATACTAATGCCAAAACCAAGACAGAGTAGGCTCAGGACAGCCCTGACTGCTTTTGACATTCTAATGCCATAAATAAATATCAATTACTGTATGTGAGAATGTTACCTTCCCTCAAGTTCATACTTTCACACTAGTTTCAATCTGGCTACTGCCTCTCCATTATCAATCTGTGCTCTCTTTCCCATGCCTGCCTCCATGGCTCTGACTGAATGTTACAGAGGTGCAACACACCAGATCAGCATGCCATGGATGAGATGCAGATGCATCTAGCAAAGGTTTTGAGCTTCTGTATGTTGTAATTTATAGTCTTCACAAGTGTCATTTTAAAGGAAGAGATTTACCCCCATACACATTTATCTCTTGTCTTTCCTCTTACCACACAACCTCCTGCATTTCTTTACTTTGCTCTTCTGATTTAGTATCTATTGTTTTGTTGTCCTTGTGTCCTTACAGAATGCCACCATTTTATAGATTTAGATGTCAATGGTGCAAAAAAAAGCAAAAGAAAATGGATCAGTATAAACATTGGCTTTGCAGAGACCTGCAATGGGCAAATGGCCAAGGAAACTCTGCTGCAACGAGAGAGAAAGCAAAGAAGCCAAAACTTTTAACTTTCACTGCCTTCAATACACATCAGTCTAATGTTCATTTCATCAGGAAAAATATGACTGACTTAGAAATCTAATTACATTGACCTTCAGGGGTGTTTTTTTACTTGCTGTCACTCCAAAGTCAGTAATACAAACTCTCAGAATATGATCTTAGTGCCCATAGTCCCTTGCTCTTGCTTCTAAAAACTAATGACAGTGCCTCTGTCCATAGTCCAGGTCTCAAGATGCCAAACTGTTGTTCTCTTTTTTGTTCCCACAGGAATGTTGCTGGACGCATGGATGGAGCTGAGAGTTTTCTTCAGATCAGCTTTTTGCGTATGCACTGTTTCACATTGAAAAAAGTCAAGAATCACACGTATGGAGAACGAACAACTTTATAGGGAAATAATGGGTTTGTCTGTTCTTGATTTCTTACATATTCGGTTACTTTCTGAATATATCATATGGATTATTGTACTCCAAATGCACTTTGGTGTAGACATCTACCAACACAATAATCAGTAGTGTTTACATTACAATCAGACTTGACTCATGCCTGTAAATTCATCCCCCATTTTTGTACTTACACACAGATTTTCTCCCCACTTTTCCCCCCAACAGACCACATAAAATGCAAGGAATGGTTCATAAAATCTAAACTCAAATCTGCAAAAGTTGCAAAATATCAGGATAAGGCTGCTGCTTAAGGTAGAAAAACAACTAGGATTGGGAGGTGGTCATCTGTGGCCCAACCCTGGAGGAAGATCTGAGATACTCTCAATGTATTTTAGCACCAGAAACAGAAGGAAATTTGAATGGTGACCCACAAGCATCTCACACCTCAGTCTAGGTTGTAAATCAGCCAAGATAAAATGGCTTTTAAGAATAGCAAAAGAGAGCAAGCATCCACTGACATGACATTTTACATAGTGGGTAAAATCATTTCAGGCAAAAGTAAGGCTTGAAGGTGCACCTTTGGGAGCTGCAGGTACCTGCATTCCAAATCTCATTCAGCTGTATTTCAACGTGTGGAAATGACAACTGCAACTCTTGCTCTCTGTGGACAGGTTTGCTCACGAGATTCTTATAAAAGATAGGAGATTTTGAACAGCAATTTTCTATGAAATTTGGATGAAGAAAAAAAGAAGGATCAGAGACAAGCAACAAGACCAACATTATTTCAGGCAGAGACACCATTTGAAGCAGTGAAATTGCCTGTCCCTAGTCCTGCCACAGTACCTGTGTGGCTGGTGTAGAGAACTGAATGTCAAATGGATAGAAAACTGTGGAAAACACAGTGCACCCTCAAACACTTGCCAGTCTATCTGGAAGGCCAAGTGACTTGACCCACAGTAGAGCAGTGTATGGAAAAGCCTTCACTATTGGAAGCACAAACGGTCTCTTGATTCGATGGAAAGCACTAGGAAGCAAAATCGTCAGGCAAAGATCACAGGTGTTCACAGGAACATAAATTCAATGAAAATTACCCAGAGGGTGAATTTAATTGGCAATCACAGCACTGTTTTGTCAGGTCTAATAGTTCCTCACCATGCTAAAAATCTAAATGCAACAGTACAGCAAAATAATAATTAAAAAAATATATGCGGTCAGGAAAAACATCAACAAAACCTCACAAAGAAATATATCTGGCATAAAAGTCCTAAAATAAACACTCTGCCAAATACTTGTTGGCAAGGACAAGTTTCCATTTAAGTTTGTAACATGACAAAAAAAATTCTATAAACTATTATTTGTTTTCTGTGTAAACTCTGCCTGTATGAAAGGTACCATGCTTTTTCTTTATTAGCCTTTTAAATTGGTGAAGTTTAGATTTTGTTCCACTCTGAAATTATCCTGAAACATACCCTGCACCAGAAGAACTGTGGATTAACAGTAAGCATAAGGAGTTTAATATCACAAACATCACAAAATGATAATTAATTTATGTAAAATGCCATAGTAAATGCACATCGTAAGATTGCAGTATTGTGGTAAATACATTTCTTTAAAAATTAACACTCATGCAGCAGATATCTTTTTTTCTGTATTCTTTAAATGTCCTGACTTCAAATTTCAAAATGCTTTTCTATGTCAATGACAATCTTAATAAACTACAATTAGTTCCACAAGGCACTTTCTGATGCACAAGCCCCTGGCTTGATTGCGGTGAATGGTGGGTATTTCCTGTGTTTAAGTCCACATATGGATTGAGTAAGGCAGTGGCAGAGAGACTACTGTTTTCCTTCACTACATCTTCATTTCTTTTTCAGAGGGTAAGCCTTTTTTGTTTTTCCTGGCTCTGTTGTCAAAACATTGACCAGAGTTTTGGCTCATGGTATTGGAATACGAGGCCAAAACAATCCTCTGAAAACCAGTGTGGCAAAATGTATTTTAAATCTATACATTCACCATTCAACCATGGGAGTAACCACGCCCACTGCCCCACTCTGTGGTTTAAAAACAACATGGGTTTGCCCCCAGAACGGTTTGATTTATTTGACAAGCTTTTTCAAGCTGGGTATATCAACATTTAAACTGTTCTGAGGCTTGGCTTCCTACATCACATGTACAGCAAGTATTAAAACACACTCTAATCATTTTCTGCCTCTATTAAACCAGACAAGGTGAATGCATTGTGCATTCTGAAAGATTTCTCTGAAGACCTGTCCGTCTCTCCAAAGACAGATAAGCTAAAGTGATTTTTTTGATTTTTTTTTTCTCTGAAACTTACAACTGGGACTTTTCAAATATTACCTTTATTAGATCCTTTTTGGAAAATACATTGTTATAATTAATATGTAGACTTAATTACTGTTTCTGACATGCTATAGTCCAATGCAAAACAGTAAGAGATGACACATTATAGAGAGTTCTTCATAAAATGTAGCAGAATGCACAAGTACACTGTGAGAGTACAAAATATTTTCATGCATTATTACAGCAATTCTCTTTCCTCGGGGGTAACAAAGAATACAAACAAAAACTTGGATGTAAAAATGAAATCAGGACAAGACCAATTTTGCACACATGACTGGGAAAATTGAAGCACAGAGATGGTGGGTGGTAGATTAAATAATCTATCCAAACAGAATCTAATATTCTGAGTGCTGGGGTGCAATTCCCCTGAACCAGAATCCCGGTATAATTTACTCCCAGCTTTTTTTTTTGTTCCGCTTTTTTGTGGTGGGTGCCACATCACTGAACCGGGCCTCTGTTGGTGCTGCTCGCATGGACATGATCTATGTAACAGTCACATAGAGAAATATATTCATACACATGCAACAATAAGCCTAAATTTAAGGTAAAGTGGTGGCTCTACCTTGAACCACCTATAAATGACCCGTGTGACACTTGAACCAAATTTAAATATCCTGCCAGAATTTACTCCCAAACGGCACGGCGGGAAGGAGAGAGCAGGCCAGGAAGCGCTTCTCGCCGTTAAATCGAACATAAACTTCACAGCCAAACCTGCCCCGTGTGTGCGTGCTGCGGAAAGCTTTACAAGGCTGGCGGGGGAATGCAGACGTGTGTGAAGGCACCGACACGCGTTGCGGCTCCTCTGCCGCCCTCAGCGCGGGGCTCCCCGGCCCAGCTCCGGCCGAGGGCAGCGCGCCGGGAAGCGCCGGCCCTAATTGAAAGAAAAGCAAAAGCAATTAGCCCGGGGGGAGGGCACTCCGCTTGATTGGCCGCTGCTGATGGATGTCCCTCCGCCCCCGGAGGCCGCCGCGGCCCCAGCACACCTCGGGCCTCCGGAGCTGCGGCGGGGCCCGGCCCGGCCGGGCTCGGTCCCGCCTGGCGATCCTCACTGCTCTGTGCGCAAACTCTTTCCCCCAGCGCGCCCGTCTGCTCCTCCTGCTGCGGATTCCCGACGGCCTTTCCTCACGAAAACCGTAAAAACCCAGCGCTGGACTTTAGCGGCTTAAAACACAGACCTAAAGGAAAAAAAAAAAAAAAAAAAACCAACCAACGTTAAGCAGCGTTTCAACAAACCCTATAAAGCCGAAATGCGAGACCAAGAGAGAAAAGAAAGGGGGAAGGACGAAAAGCTGAAAGTATCAGCGGGAATAGCAAATAGCTTAGTTTTCACTCCAGACACCATAACTTGTTTTACGATTAGTGATCTGTTTAAAGATTTGTCCTGGAAGTACTTGATATTGGGTTACAAAAGGTTACGCTAATTGCATTAAGCCATAATGACCCATGAAGCGCTGCAAAGGCTTAGAGAAATCACGTTTCTCCCATAAAGAAATAAATGTAGTAAATAAGTAAAAATAAAATAAAATAAAATCACAGCAGGGCGACGGGGCGGGACTCCCGGCGGAGGCAGCAGGGCGGGAGGCAGCGCCCCGGCGGCGGGGGGCTCCAGCCCCGGGAGCCCCCCGGTGCCCTCGCCCCCCGCCCGGCGCGGCCCCGGCGGGAGGGCGTGTGCCGGCCCTGGGCGCAGCCGCCCGCCTTATGGACCGGAATTAAATGTGTCTACCAATAATCTATAGTCTCGCTCGCCGGGGCAGAGCAGACAAACAAAATCGTTCCAAATGAAAAGAAAACACTATTTCTTAGAAGTGTTTAGGAGGGTGCACAGCAGGGCATATTTTCTTTCTTACTGGCAAGGGTTTGTAACTGGATCCCTTAACATTACTGAGAACATGAAAACATGAAACAAAAGTATTGATCCAAGAATTCGCCGAAGAAAAGTATCCAAATACACACTGGTTTATTTGAATTTTTTTTTTTAAGGTTACATCAGATGTTTACGTGGGAAGTCCAAGCTTGAGAAACAGCCCCTCCGTGCCTCATTCAAACACACGGGGAGGAAAGTGTCGTTTGTGTTGTTAAATTTACATTACGTTCCCTTTAATTGCATCAGCTGCTAGATAGATCTAGGAATAATGGCATTTAAGAGGAAAATAGCAATCATCTTCAGAAGACTGCAGCATAATGGAGGAACCTAATTAATTTAACTTTGCAGTCTTCCATAATGGCTGCACTTTATCACTTCCACAGATGGAGCTTGAAGGAATTAACAATGCTGTTTATCCCAGCAGACATCTCTGACTGTGGTTAGCCAATGGCAGATTTCCCATTAAAGATGCATTTCTTCACTTGAGGGAAACCAACCCGAGCCCTGGCAATAGCTGTTGAAACTTGCTATTACTATATGTGTGTGGGATATTGAAAACCTGAGAAAATGCACGATATGTGTCTCTTTATGGTCTCATCAAGTGACGCTGGAAGAAGACAGGGTGTTTCCTTGCTTACCAGAGCCAAGGTTTTTCCAGTACCATTTCGGTTTCTCTTCCCTTTGTTTCCCCCTTCACTATTTTTTTTTCTTTACAACGTATCCTGCAAATGTATTTTTTTCCTTTAAAAAAGTCAGTACGTGTCTTTTTCTAGACATGTAGAATTCAACCCCTCTCCTAGATGATTTGCAATGTTTACAGGCTTTTCATGCCTGAGAAACCTGAGTAGACCTGAGGTAAGCACTCCTCCACACACAAAACACAGTAAAAACCGGATTACTTGAACAAGTTGATTGTTTATTATTTCAGGAAACAATGCATTTTCCACGCTGCCATATTCTTGGGTGCGCACACACACCCTCCAGTCACCCGTGGGTGTCAGAGGAGAATCGAAGGGAGAGATATGCAGTGATACCAACCTAGGTATGACCCACAGCACTTAAATGCTCTACACCATTACCCGCATAGCTGGGCTATTAAAAAGTGTTGTTTGGCACCTTTGAGAGGGGTATTTTTTACCCCAGCAGCAGGGACCTGGGGAGTCAGCCACAGCAGTGAAGCAGATGAGCACACCCGTCCACACCACTGTCTCTACCCGCTCTGTACAAATAGAAATGTTTTGCGGGGACTTGGAGCCAAGGATGGTTCGGCGTTCTATGTGCTTATGTATTCCGAGGTGGTTCTTAAAAAGTATTGGTTTTTTGTTGTTGTTGTTGTTTTTGTTTTTTTTTTTTTAAGGCTAATTGACATCCGGAGTTTATTGTTGCGGCTGATTTGGGGGAGGGAGTGAGGCGGGGCGGAAAAGGGCGGGTTTGCGCGCTTCCAAGTGCCTGGCAAGCAAAACTCCCATCCTTGAACTTAGACCTTACCACCGTCCAAAATGACAATTTCGTACCGTTCTTACACCCTGGCAGAGAAAGCGTCTTTTCCATCCCTCGTTTTTATGCAGCAGCGTCCAATAGAAACCAGCCCATGCATGGAAAAAATGCAGGGCTGCTGGTAAAATTCATACAGCTCTCAGTTTTTATAAAGTAAAGGTGAATAGCAGCCCAGGAGCCACCTGGGCTGCTTGCACCCTGTTATTTAGGAAGGCAGGTTTGGCTCCAAACCTGAATTTGTTAATCTGGCAGGTACCTGCACCAGCAGTCAGTGGCGTGACAATGAGTATTTAAGTCATACTGTCATTTCTCTCCTTTTCAGAATAAGTCCCCTGCTGCTGAGAGCTTGGAGGGGAGAAGCGCCTGCCTTTCACCCCAGCCAGGAGTGCTCCCATCTCAGGGCTCCTTCAGGCAGGTGCGGCAGGGAGAGTGCCGGGATCTGAGCCGCTGACCTGCGCCGTGACGCGCCCAGCTCATGAGGAGACAGTGATGCCGCTTCGCTAACTGGTCTGGGCACCACCATCTGAAAATAACCTGGCACATCTATGTATCTATACTTCCACGGGGAACAGGAAAAATATTTAAAAGGAATATATAGACGAACGGGCGCAGGAAGTAGCGCGGGGGATCTCAGGCTCCGGCTGGCACACAGCTTAAGTCTGAGAGAGGGGCAAAACGTGAGATGCAACTGCGTGAAAATCAGCTACACCAGAAAAAAAAAAAGAAAGAAAAAGAAAAGAAAAAGAAAAAGAAAAAGAAAAAGAAAAAGAAAAAGAAAAGAAAAGAAACAACAGCCAAAACTCGGGGCGGGAAAAGATACTAGACGCGGCCGCACGGTGAATCCCGCAGAGGCGCGCTGGCAGGGCAGCGCCGGCGAGCCGGCTGCACCTGCTCTGCCCGCGGCCCCCCCGCGCACACCCGCCGGGCCCGGTGAGCTGAGGGGAGCTCTGCGGTCTCCCGGGGCCGGGGTGGGGATGCTGCCGGGTGTCCGTGATGCGGTCGCTGCAGGTGGTTAAGTTTTGCTTATGATGTAGGATAACGCCGCTGTGGGACCGTGACGCTCTGCAAATCCCGCCCGTGCTCCAGCCCCTTCTTACTCGGCAGTCACATATCCCCAGTGATACTGATTTCACTGAAAATAAAGTTGTTTTTTATTTTTTTAAACCGGCAAAGGGTAGCTATTAAAAAGAACACAAATTCCAGCGGGAAGCTTTCCCGCATGCTGCGGGATCCCACTGTCCCCTCGGAGGTGCGGGAAGGCCCCCGCCGCCCCCGTGTCCCGCGCAGAGCGGTGGGCGGGAGAGGAGCGACCGAGGCGGGAGTAGAGCAGGGAGAGGAAGGTGGCCGCTCCTCCCCTCGGCTCGGGGAGAATCGCCAGGGAATCCAGCAGGACTTTCCTGTTTACTCGGCCCCAGTGGCCCCCGCTGGTGCTACCTCTGGTGCCGGCGCCCCAGGGCGGGGAACACAGAAGCGGGAGCACGGGGAGATTCTGGCGGCTGCGGTCAGCCAGGAGATGGGAAGGCTGCAAGGCTAGCTGCTCTGTAGCTGGGACCTGGGCTGTTCTTGTCCTGCTCAGCCAGGGAGCAGAGCTGCTGTGCGGAGGCAGCAGCATCCTCCCCCTTCCTTGTCTGAACAGTCGAAGGCCAAGCCTCCCTGGCGTTCCCGCAGAGCTGACCTGCAGCTGGGTCATCAGGGCCGGAGCAGAAGTTCTGACGCGCCCCCCGGTATCACACCCCCGCCCTCCTCACTCATCCCCCGCAGCTCAGGCTGCCTTCGGCTCCATTGCAGCGCAAGCCGCTGCTGCAAGGCGGCCGGGCCGGGGCAGGGCTGGGCCGGCCCCAGGTAGGGCGCGGAGCAGGGCGGCTGCCGCGGGCGGGGAGCTGCGACCGCCTCCCCCGGCGCTTCCCGCCGCCGAGAGCGCTCCGTCCGGAGTTTGAAACGGGGAGATCACGTAAATCTTAAAATCTCCTATGAAAATTAATAAAAACACACGAAATCCTAGACAGTCCATAGCAACTGATTTTAAACTACCGTTTTACGCGCTTCATTATCCACCTAAATATAACCACGGCGTGATTTAATGTAGTTCACGGAGACCACAGGCATTTTTGGCTTCCCTTAGCCTTTTTATTCTAGCGTCAACATTTGACTGTATCTGGGAGTTGGGATAAGACCAAGGAACAAGAAACAGACTGCATTCGATGTGTTTGTCTCGGTGTCACTTCCAACCAACTTGGGGAACCCCTAGCGCTTCAAACTCTGTTTTTTTCGGTAATTGTCCCCGTGCCTTCGTTTTCTGCCACCGTTATGTCCCGACTGCAGTTTCTCTGGAAGCTGGAGACCCCGGTCGGGCTTGCTGGAGGCGCGGGTTGGCTTTAATCAGCGTAGTCAGAGAACCAGAATCAGGTGTGGATTTGTTTCAGGGCATGTTTGCATCAATCAGTATTTTCGTTACAATCTTGTCAACAGTTTTAATTCAAAGCGTATGCTAAAGACGAAGAAACTGAGCCATACAAGGGAAAGAGTTATTTTTAGAAAAATATCGTTAAACAAATTGGCATGGATGAAATATTCTGACGATACTAGAGGCTAACATTTTTTTCTTAGCTTTATCAACAACGAGGCGGCTCGATGCTGTGTGGCAGGGCGGTCTGTAATTTTGGCGAGCCTCGACCGTGGCCTGCCAATCCATAGGAGCGCATCCTCTCCTCCTGAACTTTTCCTGTCCGTCTGTGGCAGGCGCAGACAGAGCCCCGCGCTTGGCCCAGCACCAGGAGCGGCGGTGCGGGCACTGAGGTCTGCGAGCGGGGTCACAGCGGCAGCCCTGGCGCGCCTCGGGGCGTTCCGCGCCGCCCGCACCCCGTTCCCTCCCCGCGCCCTCCGGCGCAGCACCTCCCTGGGGACCCGCGGAGCATCACCCCGGTGCTGCGGGCAGGGAGGGGCGGGAGCTCCCATCGGCTGCCCAGGCTTTGCGCGGCGGGCGGCGGAGAGCTTGTACGCGGCTTTGCGGGGGCAGCCGATGCAGGCGCGGCTCTCTGCCCGGCGCATCTCCCGCGGAGCCAGGGCCGAGCCAGCCACCCCACCGCCCCGCCCGGGAGGTTAAACTCACCGGATTACAGGCTAACCCGACCGAGAAGCGCTCCTACCTGCGCTGTATTTTTGGCTTAGCTATTTGCGTGGGGCTGGGGGGCCCGGCTGCGCGGACGCCCCTGCGTGCGTCTGGCCG